ACTCTTTCCCTGGTTATCCTCTTCCCCTTGACAAACTTTAGAGAATAATCTTGGGATTCTTCCTAATCTTATCTGCCTGTGTTTTTTTCATGCCCCACCTTTGTTCTCCTTATTTCTTTCTTCAGATATCTTCCGGCACTTTCCACGCTCCATTAGGCCCTCCGACCAGTAACTATTGTGAATGGCAGATATCAAACTAATGTCCTTAAGGGAAGGAGATCTGCTGTCTTTAACCAGCCTGACCCACATGTGATTCCAGGCCCACAGCAATGCGCTTCCCTCTGAAATGGCCTAGCAAACGCCAATTTGTATGAAACTGAAAAAGTTTTGATGGAATGAAACCAGCCACCTAGCATGGACCTTGGCACTGGAAAAGTCAACGGCAGAAACAGCCCTGTCGATCCTACAAAGTGCTCCTCACTAACATCTGGGGGTTAGTGCCAAAATTGGGAGAGCTGTCTCACAGACTAGTCAAGCAACAGCCTGACACAGTCATACTCACGGAATCATACCTTACAGACAATGACCCAGACACCACCATCACCATCCCTGGATATGTCCTGTCCCATCAGCAGGACAGACCCAGCAGAGGTGGTGGCACAGAGGTATATTGTCAGGAGGGTGTTGCTCTGGAAGTCCTCAACATTGACTCCGGACCCCATGAAGTCTCGTGACTTCAGGTTAAACATGGGCAAGAAAACCTCCTGCTGATTACCATATACCATCCTCCCTCAGCTGATGAATCAGTACTCCTCTATGTTGAGCAACACTTGGAGGAAACACGGAGGATGGCAAGGGCACAAAATGTACTCTGGATGGGGGATTTCAATGTCCACCACCAAGAGTGGCTCGGCAGCAGTGCTACCGATCGAGCTGGTAGGGTCCTAAAGGATATAGCTGCTAGACTGGGTCTGCAGCAGGTGGTGAGGGAAGCAACAAGAGGGAAAAACATACTTGACCTCATCCTTACCAATCTGCCAGCTGCAGTTATATCTGTCCATGACAGTATCAGTAAGAGTGACCATTGCACAGTCTTTGTGGAGACGAAGTCCTGCCTTCACATTGAGAATAACCTCCTCATCCAGCAGAATCTGTAACTTCACAGCTCGGCACATCCCCCACTCAGCCATTACCATCAAAGCCGGGGATCAACCCTGGTTCAATGGAGAATGCAGGAGGGCATGCCAGGAGCAGCACCAGGCACACCTGAAGATGAGGTGTCAACCTGGTGAAGCCACCAAACAGGATTACTTGCACACCAAACAGTGGAAGCAGCAAGTGATAGACAGATCTAAGCTCTGCAGTCCTGCCACATACAGTTGTGAATAGTGATGGACAATTAAACAACTCACTGGAGGAGGAGGCTTCACAAGTATCCCCATCCTCAATGGGGGGTCAGCCCAGCACACCAGTGAAAAAGATAAGGCTGAAGCATTCGCAGCAATCTTCAGCCAGAAATCATGGAAGGTGTCATCGACAGTGCTATCAAACAGCACCTGCTCAGCCATAACCTGCTCAGTGACGCCCAGTGTGGGTTCCACCAGGGGCACTCAGCTCCTGACCTCATTACAGCCTTGGTTCAAACATGGACAAAAGAGCTGAATTCCAGAGGTGAGGTGAGAGTGGCAGCCCTTGACATCAAGGCTGCATTCGACCAGGTGTGGCATCAAGGAGCCCTGGCAAAATTGGAATCAATGGGTATCAGGGGCGAACTTTCTGATGGTTGGAGTTATTCATAGAACATAGAACAGTACAGCATAGGAACGGACCCTTCAGCCCACAATGTTGTGCTGAACACGACGCCAAATTAAACCATTCCCTTCTGCCTGCCCTAGTCCATATCCTTCTATTCTTTGTATATTCATGTGCTTATCCAAAAGCCTCTTAGATGCCCCTATCATATCTGCCTCCACCAGCACCCCTTGGCAGTGCGTTCTCGACTCCTATTACTCTCTGTATGAAATACCTTGGAGCACCTGAAATAAAGGAAGATGGCTGTGTCGTTATTGGAGTTCACTCATCTTAGCTCCAGGACATCTCTGCAGGAGTTCCTCAGGGTGGTGTCCTTGTGTCCAACCATCTTCAGCTGCTTCATCAATAAACTTACCTGCATCATAAGGTCAGAAGTGGGGATGTTCACCGATGATTGCACAATGTTCAGCACCATTCGTGACCCCTCAGATACTGAAGCAATCCATGTTCAAATGCAACAAGATCTGAACAATAACTATGCTTCGGCTGAAAAATGGGAAATAACATTTACAACGCACCAATGCCAGCCTATGACCATTTCCGACAAGTGAGAATCTAACCGACGCCTCATAATATTCAATGACATTATCATCACTGAATTGTCACTATATACATCCTAGGGTTAATATTAACCAGAAACAGGAGTGGACTGGCCATATAAATACAATGGCTACAAGAGCAGGTCTGACGCTAGGAATACTACAGAAAGTAACTGACCTCCTGACTCCTCAAAGCCTGTCCACCATTTGTTAGGCACAAGTCAGGAGTGTGACAGAATACTCCCCACTTGCCTGGATGGGTGCAGCTCCAACAGCACTCGAGAAGCTTGACACGAACAAGACAACGCAGAAATAACACAGTGTGGAGCTGGAGGAACACAGCAGGCCAGGCAGCATCAGTGGATGGGGGAGGGGGAAGGGAGCTCAGAAATAAATAGAGAGAGGAGGGGTGGGGCTGGGGAAGGTAGGTGATGGTGGATAGGTGGGAGAAAAGATGGACAGGTTGTGTCAGGTCAAGGAAGCAGGGATGAGAGGGAGGGTTAGACATTGGATGAGGAGATTTTAAAACTGGTGAATTCTATGTTTAGGCCATTGGGCTGTAGGCTCCCGAGGTGGAATATGAGGGGCTGCTCCTCCAGTTTGCGGGTGGCGTCACTGTGACACTGGGGGGAGGCCCAGGATGGACATGTCACAGGAGAGGGAGGGGGAGCACTTCCTGTGGTTGCAGAGAAAGGTGCCAGGGATAGTGGGACTAGTGGGAAGTGTAGAGTGGATGAGAGAGTCACGGAGGGAGCGGTCCCTCCGGAAGGCAGACAGGGCTGGGGAGGGAACCACCAGCACCTTTCCCTGCAACCGCAGGAAGTGCTACACCTGCCCCTACACCTCCCCCCTCACTTACATGCAAGGAACCAAAAACACCTTTCATATCAGACAGAGGTTCGCCTGCACATCCACCAATGTGATCTACTGCATCCACAGCTCCCAACGTGGCCGCCTCTACATTGGTGAGACCAAGTGGAGGCTTGGAGACCGCTTTGTAGAGCACCTATGCTTGGTTCGCGACAAACGACAACACCTCCCAGTCGCAAACCACTCCCACTCCCAATCCCACTCCCACGCCCTGGGCAATATGTCCATCCTGGGCCTCCTCCAGTGTCACAATGATGCCACCGGCAAACTGGAGAAGCAGCACCTCATATTCTGCCTTGGGAACCTACAACCCAATGGTCTAAATGTGGACTTTACCTGTTTCAAAATCCTCCCAGCCTCATCCCATGACCAACACCCACCCCGCCTCCTTGACCTGTCCATCTTCTCCCCCACCTATCCCCCTCTCCCACCTCACTGACCAATCTGCACCACTGCCTACCTGCACACACCTATCACCATCCCACCTACTTTCCCCAGCCCCACCCATCCTCTCTCTATTTATTTCTGAGCTCCCTTCCCCCTCCCCATTCCTGAAGAAGGGTCCTGACCCAAAACATCAGCTTTCCTGCTCCTCTGATGCTGCCTGGCCTGCTGCGTTCATCCAGCTCCACAATGTGTTATCTTTGACTCCTGCATCGGCAGGCCTTACTATCTCCAGGACAAAGCAGCCCTCTTGACTACTACCTCATCCACAAACATCCACTCCCTCCACCACTGATGGACTGCAGAAATTCACCAAGGAGCCTAAAAACACTTCCATCGAGAAGGACAAGAGCAAATACACAGGAATACCACCACCTGCAAGTTCCCCTCCAAGCCACACACCATCCTGACTTGGAAATATATCGCCATTTCTTCAGTGTCGCTGGGTCAAAATCCTGAAACTCCCTCCCTAAGGGCACTGTGAATCTATCCACAGCAGGTGGACTGCAACGGTTCAAGAAGACAGCTCACCACCACCACCACCTTCTCAAGGGCAACTAGACAGTGGTGTCCAGGTCCGATCGTGTTGAAAAAAACTTCCAAATGGCCTTATGGGCGTAAAACCCAATGAATCACGCAGCAGGCAGCTCAAACATGAATCTCTGCCGTTAGAAAAGGCACCCTCCCAAGGAAACAAGTTTCCTCAAGCGTGATAAATCATAAAATACACTAGCATTTCTGAAATATAATTATCAGCCATAACCAAATCACAGCTTCACCCAGATGTTCAATGCCATCCATTACAATCAAGATTCAAAGATTTGAGACACCTATTCATAAAAATCCCAATGTACTGCAATACTGAGGGAGCGCCGCACTGTGGGAGGGTCAGTGCTGAGGGAGCGC